ACAGGTGTGTCAGTCTACAGGTGTGTTGTTACCATGTAGCTGTTGAAGGCGGAGGCGTCTGCGTCCACCATGTGCAGCAGGTCGTTCATGGCCTGATGAAACGGAGGAATCAGCCTCCTCATGACGACGTCCAGGTTCTCAAACTGCCTCTTCCCGTAGGTCATGTGACCGACCATGGAGCCCAGCGCCGCCCCCTGCAGGAGCAGCAGAGACGTTAAAATATCGAGAAATCTCACTCTGCTGGAAAATCCTGGACGGTGAAGAAGGTCGAACCAGAGCGGCGACGGCAGCAGAAACCGATCCTCCTCCGGGAGCCGCCGTCCGAGCGCCGACGCTCCGAACAAACTGCTGCAGAGACAAAGACACCAGCCGTCCGTCGTCCTGCGGCTTCACCATGTACCTGCACAGGTAACGATAACAGGTGCATCAGCGGACCAGAGGGCTGTGGAGGTCGTACCAGACATCCTGGCGTGGTGCAGACATGCTAGCGGTGGAGGACTCACTCGATGATCCTCTCGTTGGGCTTGAACGGACCGAGGGAGTCCAGGCCCAGCTTACTGATCACCTGACCACAAACAAACACAAACGTTCAGACGCTGCACTGACAGAAGCTGACGGACGGTTTTCAGACTCAGCTGCTGACCAGTCGGACTTTGTGCTCCTCCTCCAGGACGAACAGTCGATCTCTGTGGATGTAGAAGTCTGCAGAGTCCAGCAGAGCCTTCAGAGGAATCAGACCGACGATCTGAGAGCCGACCACCGGCAGCTTCAGGTCCTGAACGACGGAAAGACCAGAGTCAGAGGGGATGTAGTGTTGGAAGGAACAGGTGGTAAGGAACAGGTCAGAAAAAACAGGTGATCAGGAACAGGTCGTAAGAAACAGGTGGTAAGGAACAGGTGGAGCACTGAATGCCATTTCCAGTAACAGTCAGTCGCAGTGCGTCAATAAGAAACTTATTGTTTTGTAAAAACCAGCAGCAGGTTCAGGTTTTGTACTGAAATCCTCAACGTGCATCAGAATCAGAGAAACTAAACTGTCAACATTCATCAGTCNCCATCCAGGGTCGGGTCATGGGGGCAGCAGGTGGAGCAGGTCGCCCCAGACCTCCCTCTCCCCGGCGAACCTTTCCAGCTCTTCCTGGGGGATCCCAAGGCGTTCCCAGGCCAACTGAGAGATATAATCCCTCCAGCAGGTTCTGGGTCTGCCCCGGGGTCTCCTCCCAGGTGGACGTGTTCGGAACCTCCAGAGGAAGCCTCTCCGGAGGAACCTGAACCAGATGTCAAAACCACATCAACTGACTCCTTTAGACGTGAAGGAGCAGCGGCTCTACTCCGAGCTCCCTCCGGATGTCTGAGCCGCTTGTATCCGCGATCTCGTTCTTTCAGTCTCGACCCAAAGCTTGTGACCATAGGTGAGGGTTGGGGTGTAGATGGACTGGTAAATCGAGAGCTTCGCCTTGCAGCTCAGCTCTCTCTTCACCACGACGGTCCGGTACAGCACCCGCATTACTGCTGACGCTACACCGAGCCGCCTGTCCACCTCACGCTCCAATTTCCCATCACTCGTGAATAATAGATACTTAAACTCCCTCGCTGTGGGGGGGGGGGAGTTGCTTCCAGTTTCCGGCAGAGAACCATGGCCTTGGACTTGGAGGTACTGATCCGCATCCCCGCCACTTCGCACTTGACTGCAAACCGCTCCAGTGAGTGCTGGAGGTCACGGTCTGATGGAGCCAACAGGACCACATTGTCCGCAAAAAGCAGAGACGCGATCCTGAAGTCCCCAAACCGGACCCCCTCCTCACCCTGACTGCACCTTGAGATTCTGTCCGTGAAGACCAGAAACAAGACCAGGGACAAGGGGCAGCCCTGGTGGAGTCCAACACCCACCTATTGCCGAGAATGCGGACACAGTTCACACTTTGGTTGTACAGGGACCAAATGGCTCATAGCAGTGAGCCTGGTACCCCATACTCCCTGAGTACCCCCCACAGAGTCCCTCAGGGAACCTTCTCCAGATCCACACGTGGACTGGCAGGTCGAACTCCCATGCCCCCCTCAGCAGCTCCGCAAGGGTAAAGAGCTGGTCCACTGTTCCACGACCAGGACGGAATCCGCATTGCTCCTCCTGAATCTGAGGTTCGACAACTAATAAACTAGTAAATAAATCAAAAAAGCTTTGGGTCCTGAAATGTTGACGTTTCAAAGAAAGTCTACAGGAGTCTACAGGTGTGTCAGTCTACAGGTGTGTCAGTCTACAGGTGTTTAACCCGACAGCAACTGAGTCAGTTACAGGTTCTGTTGCCTCCTGGTGGCCTTAAAGCATTCTGTAACTTTGGCGTATTCAGATCTTTCCCACATGAACACCTGTAATCTTGTCACTATCAGTAACCGTGATGCCGGCGGTATCATCAGGTCACCTTTTCAGTTCCTCTGCGGTGCTCTTCGGCATTTTCAGCGCCGCCTGCAACAAACAAACCAAACATGAAAACACAAATCACACGTTTAAGTGAAACAAAAAAGTGTTTCTGTCTGTTTCTGCATCATAAGAAAAGTTTTGATCCCACAAAAAAAATGT